GGCATGCGTAGTATAAGTTTTAATATGCCCAAAGAAAAACTACGCATGCTCACGTGATTATTTTTTCCTTTCCTATCCCATTTCCGTGAAAAAACGGATGAGTGGAAACTCACCTTAACCATGGAAGTATAAAACGGATGGAAGTTCAACCGCATTGAAATTCTTCGGGACTATGCTTGTAACCTTTTGTTTCGTAAACAATAAGAAAACGACATCAAGACTGTACTTAAACGCTTAATCTTTATACGTTGACGCAAATAGATATGTTTATAATAATTTAAAAATATAGCACTTTGAAGATTCGCTAATAATATTCAAGAAAAACATTAAAAATGGCACAAGTAACGGCAAACAACAACTTTTTTATAAACTTTATATTAAATGAATGGAGTACTACAAGAATGAATGGAGTTATGATATACAGCTAATAAAACTTTAAACTTTACTCATTTAGAAAACACTTTTTTTGATTTTTTAAAAATTGTCTTAGTTGTCTTTTTTATCAAATGTCGTGTTATGACTTGAAGCAAGAAAAGAAGCTTAAACTAACATATGCTTTTAAAATCAAGTGATTCTATTTAATTACCGAGTTTTAATAAACCTTTTGTTGAATAACTGCAATTACTCATGGTTAAAAATTTGCAGCATATCCCTAGAATAACTCATTTTTTAATGGTTAATAAAGATCATTTCAGTGAATTTTGTTGTATTTTTATCCAGTGAAACTTGTTTTTTTTTTATTGTCGGTTACAAGCATACTCCCGAGACGACTTGAAATTGCTTTGATGTTTGCGGCTTGATGAACGTCCATCTGTTTTATACTTCCATGCCTTAACGCATTGTTATAGATCTGAATTTTTTACGTCATTTTTCTGAATAATTTTAAAAAGTATACCGACGCTTTTTCCGATATTTTCGCTTTTTTAACTACTTTTTTTAAAAAGTGCAATTACCTATAAAACTCTAACTTTTTTTTAAAATTAATGCATTTTAGTTCATCAGAAATAGTTCATCTGTTTTAAAATGTCAAATTTCATACGTGAGCACTTTTTAATAAGAACTTATCATTAATAAAACTAAGACGTCAAAAATCATATTTTTGTGGAAAAGCGATATGTAGTTTGCAAGAATGAATACTGCATAGTGAAACAAATTTTCTAGATGTTGTAGGTAAAACTGTAGATCATTTATAGATGGAACTATAGAATACTTGTGGTCTCTATTCCCTACACTTAGTTTTCACTATTATTTTAACTTAAAATAATAGTATTTAAATATAAAAGTATTTTTCTCATTTTTAATTTCTCATTTTTGTCTGAAATTTTGTCTCACTTACAATTTTGTTTTGATATTTTTCTGTGATTAACTTTTTTTCCATGCAAAGATTTCGCTTGAGTTTATAGATCATATAATGAGAAGGTTTTATTTAATTTAAAACTTTCTAGAGTTTTTAGGTGTTACAGAATGTTTAAATATTTTTTAGGCTAGACGAGACTATCGCTGTTTTGACGCGAAATCAAGTAAAAATATTCTCAAGTTAAAAATAGCTAACATCTGTTCTTTATTGTTTTGCTATTATTATTTGTAACAATGAATACCGCGGATATCTTGGCTTTTAAACAATATGTTAAACGTCCATCTATTAATACGTCCTTGGTTGCATTGAGTACTTTAATGTTATGTAAAAAATTCCAAACCTTTATTTACTAAACGACAAATATACTATTAGTATATATTTAAATATCGAGTATATGCAACTTGAGCAACTTAGCTTACAGCAACACCCTTAGCAACTTGAGATCCTATATTAATTTGGCCACTCTTACGAAGGTATAAATTATGTTTGCAAGTACCACATATGAAATTGGGAAAAGCCATAATATTTTTATTATAGGCATTATATATGTGGAGTTTGATAATATCTTGTATTCCTGTGGTGACTGATGGATCTGGCCTATTTTTCAACCTAACACACTGTGCAAACCGAAACTGTTTCTAGCCATAATAAATATTTAGTATTTTATTTATATCAAGTAATTATTACCCAGTGGGAAATCGGCTAGTGAATAGCTAGCTATAATCGTTACGATAAGACAGCGATTTGGCCACGAGGATCGCTAGCTTTTTTAAGTTAGCGAAAAGCTATCGATATTTGTAAAGATAAAGACAGCGATTTGGCTACGAGGACAGCTAGCTTAATAAGCTAAAGACTCACAGGCTATTGTAGCTACAGTCATATCGTAATAAAATCGCTATCAAAAAAATTTTGGTATGAAGCTATCAACCAGCTATAGATTTATAGATATTTTGTAGCTAGCTACAAAGCTACGATATGTAGCTAGCGACACATTGCTACAAAATCGCAATGTTTAAAGTTCAATTATTCTCATAATTATAATAGATTCAACACTAAAAATCAAATTTTTAAAGATGTTAGAGACATTAGTAAAGAATAAAATAAGAAAAAAAAAAATCGCTTGAAAATCGCTATAAAGCTAGCTCGTCGCTACCTCATTTCCCACCGGGTATATATTAAACTAAAAATAACATTCAGATAATTTTAAAATAATAATTCATTAACGGAGGAGCGCTCTTTAATGTTTTACTTTATTGAAGTCGTGCAACTTTTAAACTGACAGATTAAAGAGTTCTTCTTCTACATAAACCTCGGAGCGCAAAATTAATTTTACTTATTCATTTGCACTTTTTAAGGAAAATAGATTTGAAAATTTTACTGTCTCAGCAAGTCATATTGATTTTTAGCTTTTTAAAATCAAATAAACAATGTATTATCATAAATGTATTATCACTCCGTAAACCATAATAGACTATCTGATTGAGAGTGCTATCTATGTTTTTTAACACATAAACATATCCCGCATGGTCTAGTGGCTAGGATTTCTGGTTTTCACCCAGGCGGCCGGGGTTCGATTCCCCGTGCGGGAGAAATAATTTTGCTTATTTTTACTAAATAACTAAATAGTACTAAACTATAGCTAAAGAAAATATTTTTTTTACTTGTTTATTTTATATTTTTCCTAAAATTCTTTTAAATAAACGGGTATTTGGCTTTATTAAATATTCTATACTAAAGTCTTTTTTTACAAAGTACGTCTCAAAAAAGGAAAAATTCAGATACCTAAGGGGCTGTTTTTTTTTTTTTTTTGGCAATTTTTCATTTGAAATGATTTAAATAAACAGGCAATTTTTCAAATAAAAAATTGTCTGTTTATTTAAACCGTTGAAAAATAATATTTGGAGAGAAAACGCATTCTTTTAGATTATATATTCAAAATGCATGGCCGACGATCTTTGAGGCGATCATGAACATTTCTTTGAGAAAAGCACGACTTTTTTTTTTGTTTTTTTGTTATTTAGGTGCCCCAAAAAGACCTAACGGTCTTGTCACAGAGCACTGCGGAAGTGCATTTAACCAGGAAGTTCACGTCTCCTTCCTTACCATGACGCGAAAATATGTAAATAACCTGGATCTCTTGCTTATAAAGCAAGCGCCCTATGCGCTTGCTTTATAAGCAAGAGATCCAGGTTCTCTTGCTTATAAAGGTTCTCTTGCATTATAAGCAAGAGATCCTGGATCTCTTGCTTATAAAGCAAGCGCTACTGCGCCACGGCCGCACTTTAATGCAGGAAGGTAAGATCAAAGATTATATCCTTGACAAGGCGTCCTCGAACTGTGTGGGTACTAATTTCACATTAGGAGACAGTTGAGTAAGATTTTGTAAAGTTGAAATTTGTATGTTTTTCACAGCCATACTGGTTATTCTCGATCTTCTACAAGATATTACTGAATTAATTCTTATTGTTGGCTTGATACGTTGAATGATATCATAAATTGACCTGGATTAATTCAATTAACCCTTAAGAAGAGCATGCAAAATTATTGCAACCAACTTTCCTGTTCCAAAAATAGAACATCTTGTATACTTGTTAGAAAATGTTTAGATAGTGACCTATGCAATAATTTACAAAAATATTTTTAATTAATACTACACAACAGCATCGCCAGAAATAACCAAGTTTTTTTAAGAATACCGAGTGTAAAATTAGCACATGAGATGAATAATGAGTCATTTTATTTTATTGCTGCTTTTTTATACAATGAACAACTAGCAAATCAAAAGATTTCATATCATAAAAAAACTTTGAATTAACTTTTTTTAATATTTAAAAAAAACACGGATAGGGAACAGAAAATAACATTAAACTCTACACCATGCAGAACAAGTGCACTTTCCAAAATCAATGTGCAAACTGTTCTGTATGCGGTAAAGACGACGTCATCATAACAAAGAATCCAAACGCTTTGAACATTACAAATTTTTAACTATTCTTTTCAAAAATAAGAATCAACTAACTCAATGCTCAATATTTGTAATTTAAGTAAGCCGATAGCACAATAACAACAAAACAAAACAACAACTGATTTAGTCAAGTCATAAAAAATTTGCTTTGGTGCTAATAAAAATATAAGTACAAGAGTTGATTCACCAATGCAAAAAACAATAAACAAACGTCAGATTAAATGTCGGTAGATTGAACCGTGGATGTAAAAAAAATGAATAAACTATAAGTATAGAATTCAAACCTGCCGCAATTAAATCATTTTAACACTTCCAATATAAAAAAAAAATGATTTTTTAAATTTCAAATCAAAATTTTTGCATATAAATACCTTTAATTTTATTAAGATTTTACAAAATTATAATTACACAATTAAAGTATTTTAATCTTTCATAATTACTTTATAGTTTTATAACTATTTTTTTTTTTAATAATCATTTTATTCTATATAAACAATTAATATTTTTTATAATTTTTTTATATTATTCAACTAAAATATTTGAGATTGTATTTTATATATAAATAAAACAAAACTTACATTTACTTTTTCAAAAATTCAAATTACTAACTTTTGAAAAAAAAACTAGAAGAAAATTAAAACATAAAATAAAACATTTTTCAAGATTCAATAACGTTACCTTTCTCATTTGTAAATCAACATCCAATGGTATACTGACGTTATGTGAATTTAAACCAGGGCAATATGGCATTATAATATCACCAACAGCAATCGATTTTATAAGCATTGTACCACCAGAAGAAGGAAGCAAGAGGAAGTAAGAACTAATGCCATCTTTAGATTGTTCAAGTAAAAGCGTTAAGTTCTAAACGAACATATGTGTGTGTGTGTATACATATTTATTCTTTACTTATATTTATAAACAAAATCTTTTTATTATAATCTTTTATATATAAATCTTTTTATTATAATCTTATATATATAAATCTTTTATATTCATATATATATAGAAAAAAAAAATGTTTTGAACAACTTAATTAAAAGTATTACCTAGTATACAGTAGTGGCTCTCAAGAGCCTTAGGAAAATGAATTCGTTAAAAAAAAAATTAAAAATAAAAAAGTTTGCCCTAGAGAAAGTTAGGTCGAAAAGTCTAGTCGAACAGTTTATTTAACTAAGAACTAAGTGACAGAATAGTAACAGAATCTACTTAGAATGAAGAATCACTGAAAGCCACATTCTATTCATTTCCAAAAAAACTAGATTATAGATAACGTTGAATCACTTCACTTAGAAAACCAGATTGTAGATAAGGCTAATACAATCACATCACGTAGAAACTCTTTAAAATAATGACTTTTCATCATTTTCAATAGTTTTTACTTCACAAAGTAAATCATTTTTTTTTATGGTTGGAAATATTTTTTTTATTTATCAATTACAAAGAAGTATTTGCATTCTGCAAAATTGCTGATGGACTATGAAAGTATATACAACTACGAGAAACATACTACCACCACCACCAATGACTAGCAATTCGCATGATGCTACCACATGCTGCCAACATACTACCACCACCACCAATGACTAGCACGATTCACACGATGCTGCAAACTAAAATCTTCAAAGAGAACTTATACAAAAAAAGCGCTTTCTGGTATGGAAATTGCTGCTTAAAAATACATATGAACTTTTCCAAAGAAAGTTAATTGATGATTTAGTACATTTATTCACTAGAAGACTTATTGATTTTTTTGGCAACCATGAAGACAGAAAACTATCTATTACTTTAATTAATTACTCTTTCACATTATTATTTTTTTTTATTCTTATATTTGCTGTACATGCAATATTTACAAGTTTTGTAACTTAAAGGTGTAATAATAAGTATCGTGAGTCAAAATATATAGTGAAATTTATAATTAAATAGTACGGACCGGACTTCAAGAAGATTCAATGATCTTATTACGAAGCCCTTACAATGTGACTGATATATATTATGATTATGTTAAATATAACTATATATTAAAACTCAAAATAAGTATAAAAAATTAAAGATAACAAGCAGCATAATAACTAAAATTGATAAGAAAAAATCAAGTGTTTTTTTGTGTGTGTAATAAACAATTTTTTGATATATTATTTAAGAAAGGTAAGAGTCATTTAGATAATACACATAGACAAGTCAGTTCACTTTTTAGTTGATATATATGTAATTTAATTTATAGTCTTAGAAGAATTCAGAGTATCTGTTTAGATTCAGTATCAGATTTTTTAACTTTGTTTTCAAGGAATTTTGATTATCTGAATTGCAAATTGATTTATTTTTAATTACTAGTTTGTTGTATAAATAAGGACCCCGATATGAAATTGAGAACTGGGAAAGTTTTGTTTTTTTGAAAGGTGTGATAAAGTTTTCTGTTTCTCTTGTGTTATATTTATTAACGTTATTTATAAATTAAAAAAAAAAAAAAAGTGGTTTGGTACTTGACCTAATTTAAATTTTAGCATAAAAAATATATTTTGATAAATGTTAAGCACATTCATTTCTTTAAATAAAGGTTCAGCGTGTGTAAATTTGTCTTTATGATAGATTAGTCTTATAGCATGTTTCTGACGTCGATTTTTAATTTTTTTTTAATATAGTAATTCTAGAACGATAAAATCTCAAAATCCACATATTGTTAGACATTCGAACTTTTAGGAATCTGTATTGCATTATCGATTTTTTGTCAAGTTTTTGTATTATTTACCAATTTAGCAACCATTATGTAAGTACATAAAAAAAATCCTGCTTCAAACAAAGTGTTTTCTGTAACTTTAAGTTTTTTTTTAAAAATTTTTTTTATCATACTGTTATATTTATTGTTTATATTATAATTAAAAAAATTGAAACTGAAAAAATAAAAGATTTAGTTTTTTTTTACCACGGATCCATCTTTTTCATGCTTCGTTTTTATTAAGAAAATTTATATAAATTTCTAAAAACCAATGAAAAAAATATAATGACAACTGAGCATTTTTTTAAAAAAAGTTTAAAAGAATTATCAAACTGACTATACAGTTATTGCTTATTTTTATATAAATAAATAATACAGAAAAATGCACGCAGAAAGCAATATAATTTTTTTTTGTTAAATTTTGTTCTATTAACATTTTATTTAAGATGTTGTAAATTCATTGTCAAAAGTTAAAACATTATCAACAGAGTTTCAAAATGAATACATCATATTTGTTAGGTTTTGCATTAAATTAATATGAGAGCTACTGTGTCAGATGCATTATTATTAACTTAGACTAAAATTTCAAACCTTTATAAAAGACCTAAAATTTCAAACCTTTATATAAATTTAGAAACAAAAGGTAGCTTGGTTAAATGATAAAGAAAAGATTTAATAGCATTTAAAAGACATAATTTGGAGAAAGTAAAACCAAAGTAGCCCAACAACAAATAATCATCAAGATAATCATCTTGATTATTGTAACAAGAAATAACAAAGATTAACGATGAAGCAAAATAGAAAAATGATTTAGTCACAATTTAAATCAAGCACCATTAAAAATTTTTAACCGAGGTATTTGTCAAAACTTCCAAAAATTGATACAAGGTTCCCATACAAATGTAAGGATTTAATGAAAAACGATGTATTTACAAGTTTAACCAGCATAAATTTATGAGCACGTAAACTTTAAAACTTTTAAATTTTTATATTTTGCAGCGACTTTCCAAACTGAGGACAAATTACTGTTAAGCATTTGTAGAAATATATTGTTTAAAAATGAAGCTAAATTAGGAAGTTTATTTAAATTTATGTTTTATTAGAAATTATTTAAACTTAAGTGCTTCAAAAGCAAGTTGTGCACCAAGTTTTCCTGATCAAACTAGCAAAATAAAATGCAAGCTACACTAAATGAAGACACTCAAAATATTATGTGAATTAAACTTGATGGCTAGTTAATTGAAGATTTTTTGCAGCAAAAACTTGTGAAAGATTGACTTAGCAGTTGGTTGTAAACAATTAGGAAGCCATCAGTCAAAAAAAAATCTTATTTGTGATAAGCACATACTGCACATCTTAAATGCCTTACATCTTAAATTAAAATATTTATATTTCTTTTTTAAATTATATAAACATTCTTTAGTTACTTTTATTTTTATTTCTTTATTTAACAATAACAGATTCGAAAATAACTTTTATTTAATAGCAAAACCATTTTTATACATATTTTTATAACTAAAGTAAGATTGGCATAAAACTATTTTTTTGATGTCTGGAAAAGCGAGACCTACAAGGCAGTACTGGATAACATGTTACCAGTTACCAGGACAGGTTACCAGGGTGATCTTAATGATCCTGATCCTGACATAACAAAAAAAGTAAAAAATTTTTATAAATAAATATTAATACAGAAGTACATTAAAGTAAGATTTCAATATTTCAATTTAAAAAATGAAAAATTGAATTGAGAAAAAAAAAAAAAAAGTGCTTCAGAAGTGGTGTTAACGATTTTATATTTTAGAAAATTACATACAAAAGATAATTTTTTATTTTCAAAAAGATAAAAAAACAATTTTATAAATAGCTTAATTATAATAAGTTCTAATATTTATATTATTTGTTTTTAATATTTAATACTAACTAGATTAACTCTAATATTAACTACAGATTTTATAATATTTTAAAATCAAGTTTGGTTAGTTAAAATTGATTTCTATCTTTTATTTAATACTTATATCTGACATTGAAGAACAAATACAAAAAATAGTAATGCATATAAAAATAAACATAACAATAAAACAAACCTCCTTCTGTAAGTACGCATTAACACCTATAAAGTTATTTTGATTTTTTTCCAAGTCATCCCATTCTAATTTCCAACAAGTAGAAGGTTTAAGTAAGTAGGGTAATCCATAAAGCATTGACTCACAAACATCAGAACTTTTAATCAACTGTTTTGGTTTTAAATTGTAAGTATTCCATACAGAAAACTGTTTACTTTTAGCCTTCAAAACGTTATGTACATTGAGATTTGTTTCAAGCATCTAATAACAACAACAAAAATACTTATCAATCTATTTTAAAAACGCAACTAAATTGTTTTATTCATTCAATTCTTTTTTTGGTGTGTGGAGAAGAAGAAAAGGGGTGGGTGGTTGGGCGGTCACATAAAAATGTAATACTAGATGTAATTTTTCATAGTTTGGAAATAACTAAAATTACTTAAAATTACTTATGTCACTAAGTAATTTGAAAAAAATTACTTAAAGTTACTTAAGCAATTTTTTTCCATTACTTGAACACCCCTAAACACCATGTTATATTTTAATATACACCATCTTAAGACAGAAAAATCTTTAATAAACGCCATGTTAAGCATCTTCTTTCCATAACTCAGGCTTTTTCATGTCATCACACATTCTCTCCAGATTTTCTTATTTCTACCTCTACTTTTTCTCTCCGAAAACTGGTATCTACAGTGATACCCAATCATCTGCATCTTTACTTTTTCTCTCCGAAAACTGGTATCTACAGTGATACCCAATCATCTGCATTTTTACTTTTTCTCTCTGAAAACTGGTATCTACAGTGATACCCAATCATCTGCATCTTTACTTTTTCTCTCCTAAAACTGGTATCTACAGTGATACCCAATCATCTGCATCTTTACTTTTTCTCTCCGAAAACTGGTATCTACAGTGATACCCAATCATCTTTACACTCTTATATTCCTAAATCACCTTTATTAATTAAAAATAAATTGTTGAATTAAAAATATTTTTTGGTTCAAAATGTAGTAAACAACTGTTACTTTAATTAGTTATACTTGACTTATTATGTACCTTTATTGGTTCCTTAACTCAAGTACATAACTTTGATAAGTGTATTTCAAGTATATATGCTCTAAATTCATGACTGCATTTTTGCTTATATGTTTTTGCTTATATGTTACTCTACAATTTATATTTTACTGTTACAATTTATATGTTACTGCATTTTTGCTTATATGTTACTCTACAATTTATATTCAAAATTGATGAATTTTTTTTTTTAAATAAAGTAAAATCAGTAAAAATAAAGAAGTACAAAAAAATGCAATGAAGAATGGATCATCAAGTGAAATCTTACAATTTTATGAAATTCAGATAACTGCTCTCATTCTAATTTTGAACCAGGCGAATGGATAAAAAAGAAAAAATCAAGTAGTAATGCAACTCAAGTCACCATTCCTAAAAATATGCATTCAGAAAATATTACTTTAATGGCAACTGTTTATAACATCTCTCCTATAGTTTTGCAGTGAAATGCAATGGGAGTTGTTCAAACTGCAGAAGTAGATATGGGCAGGAAAAAAAAAATCAAATATTTTAACTGCAGCTAGAAGAATGAAAGAAGAAAATAAAGGATTTATAAATATTACCTAAAAAGATATTAAACTTAAGCGTAACTATCTACTATTATTTCTATGTATAGGGGTCAAAATAGAAAACAGACCTTGGTGCACCCCAGACTATTCCCAAGACCCATTTTGTCAGAAAAAATAAAAAGTGGTCTGTTGCTCTCTTCAGTCTGGTCTTAATGATAGTCATGGTAAGGGGTGCGCTAATGTCCAACTCCTACTTAAACCCATGCTTATGTATAACTTATTAAATCTGAAAAACTATATTTGAGAAAATTTAAGGAATGAAATCAAAATGCAAACAACTAACTGTACTAATAAATAATAATCAAAAGGAACGGAACCATCAATAACTTAGGTAAACAGATTCTCCTACTTGCTTGCAGGCAACATGCCATAGAGCTAAGAGTATGTTATTCTTTTAAAAATTTTATTCGTGAAGGTAAAACTAGATAATCTTTTCTTTAAAAGATCGAGAAATAAATTTAAAAATTCAGAGTTTCATTACAACCTTGAAAACATAAGGTAAAAGGATTGGTTGTTATTTTTTCCATCCTATAGACACATACAATTATATTACAACCAGTTTTTAGCTTATACAAAAACGAGCAAGATAATCCATATCAGGAGTTTACCCCTAGATACATTATCCCTCAGTTTATCCCTAGATACATTATCCTTCAGTTGATCCCTAGATACACTAGTGAAGAAGAAAGTTGAGACTATAACCATAGATAAAGATTTTTATACCATAAAAAATACTAGAAAAATTTTCACCATGATGTTAAAAAGAACATAGAAATTGGTTTACGAGCATTAATAATTTAAGGAAAAGTAAAAATGACTAATTTTTAGAAATTTATCTGACTTTCTTTATGCAGGTGTGCAATGGAGAACAGGTAAGAAACCTAACTTAACCCTCAAGTACATAACTAATTAAAATAAAAAGTAAGGAATTAACTAATCAAGAAATAATTTTAATTTACTAAAAATAATATCATTATTATACTTCAAAAGAGTTTTTAATATAACAATAAATTTATTGAGATTTTAAATAATAATAAAAATATGATTTTGAATGCAAAGTATATGTAGTTTTAAAATCATTTTTATTTTTAGCAATAAATACATTATGTTGATCTATCCTCCATGTCACAAAAAATACTTTATGTTGATCTATCCTCCATGTCACAAAAAATACATTATGTTGATCTATCCTCCATGTCACAATAAATACTTTATGTTGATCTATCCTCCATGTCACAAAAATTTGCTATTTTTGATCAAAAACATTTTTTTTTTTCCAAAAATAAACCTTGAGGGAGGATTTAGAGCGGTCAAAAAATACTGGGTAAGTTTTACAACCTACTTTTTACAAACTTATACAAAATTTAACAAAATACATATTTTTGTTTTAAAATTTTCTTTAAACTGAGTCACCCCAATATATTTACATATACCCATTTCTTTTTTTATTAATATAGTCCTAAAAGTTTTGATTTTTAAAGATTGTCATTCAAGTTTTGGTACATAGAAAAAAAGAATTTTTATTGTCTCTACTAGTCTTTCAAACTATAAACTTTTCTTAGAGGTTTCTTGAATTTGCCTCAGTTTTATTGAAAATGTTTGTTTATAATGGTATATTATTTGATTTCTGATGAGTCTTTATTGATGAAACACAGTGTTAAATGAAAAATTTTGTTATCTTCTACTAATTTATTGCCTTGTTCTTTGAAGAACATCGAGCACTCTATTTTGTAGAATACATTTTAAAATTGTTTATATATATATATATATATATATATATATATATATATATATATATATATATATAAATATATATAAATATATATATATATATATATATATATATATATATATATATATATATATATATATATATATATATTTAAACAACTTTATATTTAAACAAAAAAAAAGACATGACAAGACCATAAAAACTTCTTGAAGCAAATTAATAATCACAAAAAGAAATAAATAACAAACAAGCATTTTTAAAAACAAATTTACTTCTAACAAGGCTGAAAGCGACCATTAAGCTAGAAGGTAAGACCACTAATCAAGAGCAGAAACAAAGTTAACAGAAAACAATTAATAGTTTACCAAAAAAAACTAATCTATACCAAAAAAAAAAAACTCTATAAATTAAATGAGTAAAGAAAACATGTTCAATGGTCAATGTTCAAGGGAAAAAACTAGATAAATCTTTTTTGAGCACGAAGAAACACTTACAGTAAAAGGATGCAACTTCGATGAATGACAATTTTGCAAGGTTGAGTTTTAGTTGATAAAAAAAGTGATGATGGCACACTTGAGCAACATTTATGGTAATATTTGTAGAATAAAGAGATGTAACCTTGCCCCATAATGGGCCAGATCCAACAACATCCATAATTCAATTTTGCAAAACTACTTTAATTAAACTAAACAACAAACTAACAACTTCTTTTTTGAATATAATATGATTGAGCATTGTTGCAAACAAAACTTTAGAAGTATAATAATTTTAAACAACACATTTTTACCTGACTATAACATTTACAATATTTAAATATAACTTTATTTTATCAGAAGCTATAAGAAAGCAATAAGAATGTTTTGAAAAATCATATAAGCATTATGTAAAATGGTTTATATGTAAAATGGTTTGAACAATATAAAATGGTTTATATGTATACTTATTCAAAAATTGTTTTGAACAATATAAAGAATTAAGCTTCCTTGAAACAGTTAAACTGATTAATCCTATTTTTGAAATTTATAATGTAATAAAAGAATAGGAAAGATTTTAAAAGTGGGAAGAAAGGAACTCCCAATAAGTTATAAACTTTTTACTTATAGAAAATAATTGTTAACTCTATTTTTTTTAAACCTTGATTAATTTTCAAATAAAAAAACTGTATATAATTATAAAGCTAATTATAAATAATTACTAAAAAAATTAAAATTTTTAAAATTTTGCAAAGTTACTTAACCATATGTGTATATTCAAACCTCCAAAGAGTTTTCTTGTGAATCATACAAACAATTAATTTTGATTTTTACAAACCGTTCAGCCATATATTTTTATAAGGTTATAATTTTTAAAAAAATCTAAAATCTAAATAATGTATGAAAACCCAAAACACCTATCTCAAAGTAACGTTCCCCTGAATCGAAAAAAAAAAAAAACTTTTGATGAATGAACATCAAAGCTAAAGAAATAAAACCATGACTCAGCAAATTTTTTAAAATATTAAACTTCATTAGTTTCTCAAATGAAAAAAAAAGCAAACTTTAAAAGCTTTAAAAACTTCAGCCACTTTTAGATGGTAAAGATCAAATACAGTGAACACTCTATATAAGCAACCTCTCTATAAGCAACATTCTTTATAAGAAACCTCTATACAAGCAACTTTTTCTACTTCAACTGTTCTGTATAAGCAACTTGTTTTTTTTAAAGCCAAATATTTGAGTTAAGTTTAGGCTAATTCAGAAGTAAAATCAGCTGTTCTCAACAACATAACCTCAAATTGTAAAAAATTTTATTATTGGAATGTGTTTGTGTTTTGTGCCATGTATTAAAGTGAACTTCTGTGAAAAAAAAATAGTTTCTTGAATTCTTTTAGTTTCTGTTAATCAATAAATTTATATTTTTGTGCTTTAAATTTAAGCATAAAATATGAATCAGTAGAAAAAAACGACATTAAATTTCATTAAAAGATAAACTATCCATTTGAAGAATGGTAAGAAAAAAAAAGAAATTTGTAACGAATGTAAAGTTGCTAAATCTACAATAAGTAGAGTAAAAGAAAATAAAGAAAATTTAGAAGAATATGCAACCAAAACGTACAAGAATCAGAGTATGATTAAGCGAATGAAGACAGTAAAATATAGGGAAATCAACGATACAGTGTTTTCTTGGTTCTTGGAGCAGTGACAATTAAACAATTTAGTTTCAAATGAAATGATAAAATTAAAAGCACTCGAAGTAAATAGATTAAATAATGGACCTGAAATATTTGTAGCAAGTGATGGATGGTTAACGAAATTTAAAAAAAGCTATGGTATACGTACTTTGTCTGTTTGTGGAGAGAGTATGTCTTGCAATGTGGATCTAGCTAATTCATTAAAAAAAAAAAAATTTAAATTGTATTGCTGAAAATGACTTTTTGCCTGAACAAATAAATAATTGCAACAAAACTGATCTCACCTATAAAAACATCCCCAATAAAACTAACATTACAAATTTTAAAAAATCTGCTGCTGGAAGAAAAGCAATGAAGGAAAGAGTAACAATCATGCCATACATAAATGCTACAGGTGCATAATTATTTATAATTATGCACCTTTTAAGACACTAATTAAGACACATAATTATGCATAAATTAGATTTGATGATAATAAGGAAATCGAAATCTCCTCGTTGCTTTAAAAATATGGATTTGCCAGTATAACACAAATCATCCAAAAATGCTTGGCAAACTTAACACTTTTTAGCGACTGGTATAATGATATATTCATACCTTCAGTAGCTCGACACTTGGAATATAAAAACCTTCCTGTAAAAGCCCTTCTCTTAGTAGATCATGCAACTTGCCATGGGTCTTAGAATAATTTTACTAGTACCCCAAATTTTAAAGTTATGTTTTTTCCTCTAATAACACGCCATTATTCCAACCACTAGATCAAAATGTGATAAAATCACTAAAACAAAGCTATCGCAAACACCTACTTGTATGCCTTGCAGCCTTAGGTGCAAAAGATGAAATAGTTTCAGCACTGAAAAATATAAATTTGAATGATTTTTTAATTTAATGGTGCAGGCATGGAATAAAATTCCCGTGTCAGTTATACAAAACTTATTTAAACATCTTTTTTCGCCAAGTGATTACAACATTCTTTCCAATCACTTTTCAGAAGAAGATGATATTCCCTTGGCAAGATTGTACAACTCGATATTTAATGATTGTAATTTAGTAGATACTGAAATTATGGAATGGACAAGTGGAACAAGCGCGACAAATCATCCATTTATCGTTGAAGAAAATCCTAAAGTAGAAAGTGAAACTTCTCCTGTTAAAGAAAATGAAAAAACGTTGGATGACTCCACTAAAAACATCAATGATGTTATAAATTCTTATAGTATGGGCAAAAGAAAATGACTTACCCTGCAATGAGGTTCTTTTGTTACTAAAAATAAGAGAAAATGCTCTCATGAACAAATATATGTAACTGTTTTTGTTTGTTTTAGCAATTAGTACTGTACTAAACTAAGACTTTAAAATTTGATTGTTTAATTTTTATAAATAAAGTTAATAACTACGCTTATATGATAATAATATTAAAATATTTTCTTTTGCAAAATAAAACTGAATTTATTTATTCTACAGTTTAGTTAGTGAAAGAAATAAGTAAAAATATTTTCCAGACGGTAAGTATTTTTGTACTCCCTTTTTCCCTATGAGCAACTCTTCCCAATAAGAAACTTTTTTATTGAAATTGGTTTAAAAGAGTTGCTTATATAGACTGTATAAAAATCAAATACAAAAATCAAATTATCTCTCAGGTAAATTTTACTTACTTTAATCTTGCTTACCTGTCCGGTAAAAAGTAATTTTTTTTCCCTTGTAGAATAGATCACACACACACACACAAAAAGTTATTTGTCTGAAGGAATTTTCATTTTTCTAACTTTTCACTGTACAAACTCATTTGTAATAACACCACAAAATTATAACTTTTGTAATTTCATGGTGGATATTTATGGTTCATATATTCTTATTTATATTAACTTATATTTTGCTTAGAAAACCTTACCCAGCATAAGTAAAATAAAACTTATAACAAAAGGAACTTACCATCATTTTATTTAAATTAACTTACCATCATTTTATTTAAATTAACTTACCATCATTTTACCTTTAAGAAAGTTCAATGGATTTACTAAAACGTCACAAAGATCACATTTTAGCGAAAACCCTGTAAATATAAAAAAATAAATGAAAATTTAAAAGTAAAATTAGAAGGATATTAAAAGTTACATTATTAGTTAAAGTTAAATTACATTATTATACAGTTGAAATTATGTAAATTGAATCCTAGTGAGTGTAAGCAAAACCTATTTATTTTTCCCTGAGTTTTGTTTAAAATGTTTTTCTCTGAGAAGTGAAAAATATTGTTTCGCCTATGCACTCACATAATAATAATAAAATTCTATTAAACAAATTAATTTGTTTAATAGAATTTTTTTTTTCCATTTTCAGAGCACAATCAATAATTAATGACTTTTTTTTTTTGTTTAATTATCTATAATTTAATTGGTGAATATATCATTAGGGAGAAAGCTTTAGATTTCGCAAAAGAGCTTAACATACCCAATTTTAAGGATTCAGAAAAGTGGCTAGATTAATGGAAAAATAGGTATAATGTCAGCCCTCGGAATTGGGGTCGACATTCAACAATGCTGACATAACTGTCCACCTAAAAGTGTTTAAAGTAGGCAAAAAATCATTTTTATGTTAACTTTTTGGTGTCAAATTTTTTTTGCCAACCTGATGCCGACCTCTAACAGTTTATGATCAGCAATTTATTGCTGACCTCATTTTACCATTATCCAAGGGCTTTAATATTATTTTTTGAACTATTTTTATGGCAAGGAAAGGTCTTTCACAGAGGAAATAACAGAAAGTTGGGAGCACAGACATTCGCCCATGTTTATTTTAAGGTAAGAAATAAAGGATATTTGCCCACAAAGCTGATGAGTTTGGTTTATTTTATCAACAGTTTCCAAAGAAATTTTTTCAACTAAAAGGGGAACAATATGCAGCAGGAAAATTTAGCAAAATTCATTTAACAGGCCTAAAAGAAGAAAATGGGGAAAAGCTGCCCATGTTAATAACTGGAAAGGTTAATAATTAAAAAAAATGGGGAAAAGCTGTCCATGTTAATAATTAAAAAAAAAAAACCACAATGTTTCAAAAGGTATGTTTCAAAAATTCTTATTGGACTCTAAAATCTTTACTGATGTAAGAAGGCTCAACGCAAAGTTCAATGCTGAGGGTAGGAAAGTTGTTCTAATTATAGATAACTGCCCAGCTCATACGAATGTTGATAACTCAAAGCAATTCAATTAATAATTTTACCACCCAACACAATCTCTAAAATTCAACCAATTGTTACAGATTGATCAAGACATTGAAATAATTATGCAAAAACCCACATCTAAAGTTGCTGATATTCTTTCACCAGTAGAGTCTATAGCATTAGAGAAACTACGTAACAATAAAGATATCATATTCAAAAGAGCAGATAAAGGTGGTGGAAGGTGGTGGACGCTCTAATAATATAACCAACTCAACCAAAATACCAGGAAGCATCAAAGGCTTTTTATTGCACGAATGTTGTGAGGTGTCAAATAAAATACATCAATGCTGATAAAAATGACCCCAAAGATTAACATTCTTGAACTTATGTGAATGTTGGTCAGTTAATAGGACCCTGATCAGCAAACACTGTAAAGAATTTTTTTAGACGACAGGCATCTTTGAGGAAATACAGATTGCAAGTATCAATTGTGTAATGTATATGTTACTTTCGTATTGCTTAAAGAGAATGTCAACAAGGTTAGATCATGTAGTTTAGTAGATGAAGACTTTGATGTTGGCAATTACGTAAACATAGATTTTGAGATTTGTACAAGTGAAAGAATTGCCATCACAGATCAAGAAAATTCTGAATTTAAAATTTCATTTTAATCAATGATTGTGCTGAAGAAGAAGAGAAGATAGATGATGAGTCAAAAGATTTGCCTCTCAAAAAACCAAAATTATCAGAGATTGCAGTGTAATAGAGTTACTTGAATGCTGGTCCCTTTTTACAATAATGACGGTGAAATCAGACTATCACTAAGTCTCATATCGAAGATGTTTAACAAATACACTTTAGAAACAAAAAAAGCAATTAAAGTTGGACAAATTCTTTACAGTTTTTAAAAAAAACTGTGAAGAATTTGTTTATTTTACAAGGAAAAGACTTAAGCAGCATTTTATCAGATCTTCTTCTTTATTACACAGTACTTTTGTCAAAATTTAAAGCAAAAAAAGTCACTATAAAGAAGATTTTCAAATATTCCAAATTTGGTTATTCAATGTAAATTCATGGCAGTGGTCTAAAAAATCTGATTTTTGCCCAAAGTTAAATAAAAAATTCTATAATTATTATTTTTTTAATTCTACATTATCCAGGCTATTCAAAAATGTATATATTTTATACTTTTGTATGAAAAAGTCAATAACCATATCCAAATATATTTTTATATAAAAAAATAAATTTTAAAATATTTGTATAAATTTATAATTATATGCATAGTATATGTAAAGATTTTTTTTTTAACAACTATTATATTATAAAGTTTAATTTGAAATAATAATAATTTTTGTTATTAAATATTAGCTTAAATGATTTATGTTTGAAATAAAATATTTTTTCTTCAATTTCAACTACTCACGGTTAGCATGGATCCTTATAATGCCTACCTAGCTGTCCCAAGAACTTTATGGAAAGTTAGCATACACATCAAGGTACTCTGTGATGCAAATTTTGAAATCATTTAATTTTTTCCACGGAAAATAATTTAATTTGAATGTTCAAATAAATCAAATTTTGACTTTATAGTGCGCCAATAAAAACACTTGTAGAATTTGAACCACTCAATATAACTTGATAAAAGTTGGTGCAAATGTAGCCAATAGTCACACCAAACTCTTGACAAAATTTCAGCCTGATTGGATGACTGGTGTAGGATTTATTGCAGTTTTAGTTTTAGAAGTTTGGTCAGTTTTTTGCTACTTATACCTCATAGTGTTACCAATTACTTTAAAATTCTGTCACTACTTTTAAAATAACGGTTACATGAGTATTTTACTATGCCAACAATTAAATAAAATAAAATAAATGCCAAACTAATACCAACAATTGTTGTCATAATTATTTTATCGGTACATGTACATTTTTTATTTTATAGACCAAAATAGTGATTTTCTACTTAAAGCGTGATTTAAATAGTCTTATGCTAATAGTGTCGACACGGCCTTCAAAGTGGAGGAGGTCAACCCCTCAATTTCTAAAATAAAATCCAAAATTTCTAAAATAATTGCCTATATTTCTAAAACAAAAGGTCCTTGCAAACAAAAAGTAGAGAAGGACATGACCCCCTAGCCTCCCTGGCATTAAAAGCCATGTATGCTTTGCTTGAATATACCAACATTTCCTAAGGTATAAACTGCTGCCAAAAAAAAAAAAGCTAAAAAAAAGTGAAAACCTGGTCAAAGGACTACCAGTTAGTAAAACAAAAAAAAAAAGTAGATCTCCTAAAATATTTTGTATTGACCTCCTTAAATACATTTACTTTTAAAACGAAGTGGAAACTATTTAAACCCTATTTTTTACATTGTATTACCATCAAATATCTAATTACATTTTAAGAAATGTTTTTTTGATTTTCTCCACCAAATGATTATTAATAAATAGCTCAATGTACTCTTTTAATACAAATACTCTATAATACTACTTTTAAAGATGGTAAAAATATTCATTATACACCTTAAAATATGAATTTCAGCAGCCTAATTTCTAATAACTCAAATGATGTTCTTTAAAGATGCTTACTGTTTAGATCAATTATTCAGTGCAACAATCATTCTTTGTACTCTGGATGATTATTATTTTGTTTACACCTCGACCAATGTTGAAAAAATCTTGATGAGAAGTTTCAACAGTTTGTTCACTATAGGGCCCCAAGGGGGATCCTTTGTGACTGATGAAATCCATGATGTGGTAGAAGATGGCTGAATTTTGTGTGTTACGCTTGCACCAGTTATCATTGGTAACACTTGAAATTTTCAATTTTTTCAGCGAAATCCGGCTAAAGGATGTATCCAGAGCAAGACTTGACAACTAAATTAAAGCTTTTGAATGCTTCAATTATGCACACAATATTGGGAACCATGTTTATCTCAGCAAGTTGCTGCAGCATATCCACATTTTTAAGAAGCTTCCTGCATTCATTTCCCTCAAACTGGCCCCTTTATACGGGGTCAGTTGAATGTGGAGGGCGACTGACCACTTAACAGCTTCTATGCAAGCAGTTTTAAGGATCTTGAAAAGATGGTTGACAACTCCTAAGAGGAGATGCAATTCCATCGGTGGAATGATTTTCAAAATAAGAACATTGACAGGCCCGCAGATGATTGGCTTTTGAATGACATTGCCAAACAGCTTTGCATTAACAACAACCCCGCCAGATTGCTGAAAAAACTCAAGGCTTGAATTATTTGAGCCCAGTGTTCGCAAGTTTCCAGATTTAACAAGACAATTGGATTTGACGTCACATCAGGTGCAAGGGTGCGTACTTGAATGAGTTTGAAGACCACAAATTATATTTGAAACTTTCATATCACAAGCCAAATTAGTTTAATTCCATTTACATTAATCAGTGACCAGATTTGTTCAATATTGGAGTGTGTTTCTGGCAAATTTTCTGAAACCCTAACAATAATTTGTCTCTTGACTCCAGTGTCTTTACCAGTCCTTTGAGTGAGAGGGTGTTGTTGGTGCGGTAAGCTGGTTTCATCCCTAAACACAGCATCAACAATGCTTCGGCAAAACTTGAGAAAACCTTTGCCACCATCAATTCCGAGCTTAACAAAAAAGCCACCAGAAATTTTTCGGGACTGAATAACATGATTCACAAGACTTGATAAATCATTGCAGTGAGCAACAACATGAAGTGTACAAGAATCTGTTTTTTTGTCTGTGATTTTTAAGTCACTGCAGGTGAAGAAATTGCTGACCTAGTCTTAGAAAATTCATGTAGAAATTTTGCTCTATCATCTTGCTGCTTGATGTTTTGTTTATAGTTGTAACAAGTTTCTTTAATCGGTTGTTTGATAGGCCCGTATTTAATTGCACATTTACAAGGG